TTTCATTGGTCCATCCGCTTTTTTGGACCATCCCAGTTGTAAAGTTGGAGGAAAACGCCCCCTCCCCCTAATCCAGACCCCCCCCCCCCGATTCCGCCTCTGGGGCTGGGAGCCTCCGCAATCTCTCTCCCCCCACTTCGGGGGCGCTTGTGGGGCGGCACCCATGGGCTCCCCCTGATGTTGCTGGTGGGGGGGCGCTGGCCCGGATCCCCGGAAGCGAAGGGGGGAAGGAGACCCCCGGTAAGGAGGGGGGGTCTCACCCTGCAGGTGAGTTTCTCCTCTTCTTCCCTCAAGCCCCCCCCTCCAAAATAGCACCAGCGGTTAGATTTATATACCACTTATATATATATGGCGCTAAGAATTTTAGCCAGCATCTCCACACACACACACACACCCAAAAAAGTGACAGGTGGGATTAAATTCTCCAATTCTTCCATTAAAAAAAGAAGAAAAAAGTCTCTTAAAGAAATCGAGCCGGCCTTGAAATTATCCCGCAAACTTTCTTTGCCGTGGAGAAGCCAAAATCGCTGCAACTTTTTCTAATGCAAAACTCTAATGCAGCGGAGCACAAAACACACACACACACTGCTACAATTTCACTCAAGTTCTGGGAAATTGCAGAAGGGAAAGGAAGGGAATTTGGGGAGGGGGCATTCCTGTCACTGGGGGAGGGGAGCACTGCAGGCTTGCCAATTGCCTTTTCTGCCCCTCCCCAGTGACTTTTCACACAATACCTGGCCAAGTAACCCCCCCCGGCTCCCCCCTTTTCTGCCCCCCCTCGTAGCCTCTTTGTTAATATGAAACATCTGCAGGGAGGCCTCCCCTCTTAACCCCACTAATTAAGTTAATTAGGAAGAATTTCATCTTTTCAAAGTCTCTCTGGACCCCCCCCTTTTGTAGCCTCTCGGCTGAACTTTGACCCCCCTTTGGGTCCCAGGAGAGGAGATGGGGAGGGGTCCCTGGTCCCTCCCAGCCTTTTCCTCCCTGAAAGGGGCGGAGCCTCCTCCCTCCCTCCGGGCCCCCGCCCATCAACCACCCCCCTGCAGTGTGGGCCTGCCTGGGGGTGGGGGGGGGCTGAAAAGGAAAGGGTGGGGAAGTGTGTGTGTGTTTTCCCCTGTGTAGACTCTCCACAAATACTTTTTTTACACCAAAAGTTTTATTATGTAATCTAATTTTTGTCTTTTTTTCCACAGCCCTCGTGACTTAACTCTGCCTTCAGATGCAAAAAGATAGATATTTTTCTTTTCAAGAGCTGAATGTCTTTTTCTGCCAATTCTGCCAAGATGGAAGGCTGAAGGGGGCAGATTGGCGGCTGGACCTTCTCCTGCTGAGACTCACCAGCTTCCGCTCAGGGGAGGTAGAGGCCATCTAGTCTGGTCCAGGCTTCCTTGCCATCACACACACACACACACACACACACACACACACAGAGCAACTCCTTTCCACAACCCCCGAAGAGGCGCTTGAGTCCCGCTTCCTCCCCCCCCCGCCCCCGGCCTGAAGCGCTGGGCTCCCCCGAAGCGGAACCGAGGAACTGGCCCTGATCCATCAGGCAACAAGCCCGGATTCCTCCCCGGAGCAGCTCCGGGACTCTCCCGCTCCGCCCCACGGCTGAATCTCCAGGAGGGGCGGCCCCCTCGGTCCTCTGCCCTCCCCCCCGGAAGAGGCTGAGGGGTCCCTCCCGACCCCCGAGGAGACCCCGGACAGCCCAGGGAACAAACAGAGGGAGGGCTGGAGAAACGTCCCCGGAGGCCCAAAGGACCCAAAGGCTCCGATTCTCCCCCTTCACACGTTACGGGAAGACTCGGCTCTCTCGGGGGGGGGAGGTTGGGGGGGGCTCTGATGCTGGGAAAGAGGGAAGGAGAGAGAGGAAAAGGATGAGAAGCAGGGAGGGGGAGGGTCTCCGCTGCAGTGGGGGGAGGGAGATGCTGAGGGAGGACCTGGAGGGGTGGGGGGAGGGTCTCCCCAGAGAAAGTCCGTCCATGGGGTGACACCAACTTGATGATAAGTAACCATCATTAGCCTCTCTGGTTAAAGGAGATCTCCGGTCTTTTCCCCACCAGTGAAAGCGCTGGGGATGGTGATGACTTAGCAAGAGTTCATTTCATGGCTGTTCAAAGTTACAAGGGCCCTGAAAAAACTGACTCTTCCCCTCATATTTCTTTTTAATTTTTTATTGTTTTTAATGTTTTTTTTTAATAATTTCATGTATATACCTGTGTTTAGCTTTGTGTGTCCAACCCAGTCACTTGTTGAGAGATGGGTGGTTATATGAATTTGATAGCTGGATGATATAGTTGGGGGGGGGGAGAGAGAGATGATAGATGACAGACAAGAAAGAGAGAGATGATAGAGATAGGTAGGTAGGTAAGTAGGTAGGTAGGTAGATAAGTAGATTAGATAGATAGATAGATAGATAGATAGATAGATAGATAGATAGACAGACAGACAGACAGACAGACAGACAGACAGATGACAGACAGACAGACAGACAGACAGACAGACAGACAGACAGATGACAGACAGACAGACAGACAGACAGATATGGATAGATGAGAGAGATGAGACAGAGATGAGAGAGAGAGAGAGAGAGAGAGAGAGAGAGAGAGAGAGAGAGAAGATAGATAGAAAGAGAGAGAGAGATGTACATAGACATAAAGAGATAATACAGATGAGAGGGAGAGAGTGGGAGGGAGGGAGAGAAAGAGGGAAAAGGGAGGGAAGGAGAGAGAGAGACAGAGAGACAGAGAGAGAGAGAGAGAGAGAGAGAGAG